GGCTTACAATCATTCATGATGACTGTAATATCTTTCAGATGAATTTCAATGTCACGAGGGAGCTTGCATATCAAAATATCTCGTGTGTAACGGTTATAATGACTGCACCGATCTTTCTGACGAACTCAATTGTAACAAACACAAGTGCGACAACGATAGCTTCGCGTGTGAAATCGGGACTTGTATACCTAAAACGTGGAAATGTGATGGCGAGGTAAGTCTAGAATTTCTATTAACCTTATTCATTGGATATTTTTTTGAATTCTATATTTTTTTTAATATTGAATCGTTTGAATTCTAATATTAAGCTTCATGCAATGTTGAATCGCAAATTCTTTTTATAATGGATCTATAAGCTACTTATGCTATGAAATTATTGAATAATAAAATATAGAATAATATTTAAAATAATAAATTATTTAAAAGATAAAATGATTAATTTCATTTTTTAAATTTTTAAATTTTAGTAATTCAAATATATGTAGTTAATGTTTAATTTTTCAGAATTATTTATTTAGAATTTTTGTATAGTTTATTTATTTATTTAATACAAGGAGATAAATATAAAAAATAAGAGATATTTTATAAGATGTTCCAATTTTTTAAAAATAAAATAGACTTAATATATTTTATGAATAAAAATCAAATAAAATATCATATATATAAATATTCTTAAAAATTCTTTATTAAAAAATTACAAATATGTGAAATAAATGAACTGATTTTCAATATAACATAAAAATAAATTGACAATATTTATATTAATTCTATATCAAAGTATAAAATCTATGAAATATTGTTTTAAAATATTATTGTATTAAAATATAAGTATGTAATAATTATGTGATCAAAGGTTGACTGCCCAGATGGTTCCGACGAGAGTGAAACATGCCAAAGAAAGAAGTGTCCATCCGAAATGTTTACTTGTTTCAACGGTCGTTGCATTGATTTAATTTTAAAATGCAATGGAATTAGTGAATGTGAAGATGATAGCGATGAAAAATATTGTAACGATAAAAGTAGAAATAATTATATCAATTGTACTGCGGATGAATATAAATGCTTCGATTCGGATCTATGTCTTCCCAAACGATTTAGGTAATTTTAATTTCAAGTAATGATATTTAATATTTAATATATAAAATTATTTAATATATAAGTGCAATGCTTCGTTAATTGATCACGATTGAGACATTAATTAGTTATCAAAAATAATTTTTATTCATGTTAAAAAATGTTAATCCAATACAGACAAATAATTACAATAGTTTGTCGTTATAATTTATAGAAATAAAGAAGTATAAAATTCGATAATGCAATCGATAGTGAAAAAATTATGAATAGTTAATTATGAATAGAGTAGACAATGAAAAATCATATGCATGAATTATAAAAAAGATACATTGTAAATTATAGCGGCAAGTACTGTTATCCTTAAGAATTATTAATTCAAAAAAATGAAAAAAGAAAAATAAATAGATTATTATAACATAATTTATTTATTTGTTTAATAATTTATTTATTTGTTAAATAAATTATTTGTTTAATAAAAAATCTCAGTTGAATTTTTAATAAATACTAAATTATTCATTTTATTAATATCATTTTATAGATGTGATGGAATTAAAAATTGTCCAAAAAACGATGATGAACGTGATTGCGCCCGATGTAACGAAGCAGAATACATTTGCGAAAATAAGAAATGCATTGAGAAAAGTTGGGTATGCGACAGAATTGACGATTGTGGCGACGGATCGGATGAAAGAAATTGTGATGGTAGTAATTGGAGGATGAACAGAATCAACATGATTTCTAATTGCAAAGAATTCAAATGTTCCAATGGAAACTGTCTTCCCTTCAACAAAGTGTGCGATGGAAAAATAGATTGTTTAGATCAGAGTGATGAATTTGGAGACTGTGGTATGTACTATGATAATGAAAGAATTTTTTAAAAATTAATTATAAATTACTATTAAAAAGTAAATTATTATATTTATGATTATATAAATTTGTAATTTAATTAAAATTAATTATATGAAAAATCGAAATAATATTTTTTTCTGTTAATTTTGACAAAAATAAAAAGATATTAAAATTAAAAGATTTTTTAATTAATTCATTAATTTTATTTTTTTAATATATATATTCACAGTTAAAACATTTTTACAGAAATTTCTTGTAGCAAGAACAATCCCTGTACAAATATGTGCCACAAGACACCCACTGGTCCTGTCTGTACTTGCAGAAACGGATATTATTTGAGCAGCGATTTAAAAACTTGTGAAGATATCGATGAATGTAAAAAAAATGTTTGTTCACAAATTTGTCACAATACTAATGGATCTTTTATTTGTTCATGTTACGAGGGATACGTCATTCGAAGTGATAAAACTTCATGCAAAGTGGCAGGTAAAAAAATATTTGATTTCTTAGGTTTTATTTTATTTTTATAATTCTTTTATTATAAAAAAATATCCTTATAATTTATATTTTTTATTAAATGAATATATTAAAGCATTTGATATAGATTAATTTTTATCGTAAATTATTATAGGATCACAAATGGAAATAATTACTGTTTCTGGTACTGATATTAGGAAATTGTCATCAAACTTAAATTCGATCGAACTTATTTACGAAGAAATAGATTTCGAAATAAATGGTATTGATGTGAACACAAGAGAAGATACTATTTACTGGAGTAATGGTAATGTTAAATTTAAAATTTGTATAGAATTTCTTCTTAAATATTTAAGAAGAATATAAATTCTTTTTGTTAAAATTTATTTATACATTTTTTTATTCTTTAAATTATTAATATTACAAAATTAAATTTTTCTCTATCTATTTTTCTATATTTTTTTAAACTTATCCATTAATAAAATAAATTATCCATTAATAAAACTTTTAATCTTTTTTTTTTCTCTGATTCAAATTTACACATACTATCTAAAAAAATCATTTTTATAATTTTTTTATTATTTTTTACAGAAATGCTAGGTATGATAAATAAAATACATATAAAAACTAAAGAACGAAAGACTGTTACCGGTCTTGGCAGACCGCAAGCTTTAGCTGTTGATTGGATTACCGACAACGTATACTTTAATGATAATGACTATTCCAGCAGTATTCAGGTATTGGATATATATTTATAATTTATATTGATTTTATATTATATTTTTATTAAAAAAGATTTTCTAATTCTAATTACTTATAATTTAGGTATGCAATTTAGAACAAAAGAAATGTGCTAAAATAGTATCAATCGCAGGAAAAAATCATGTAATCTCTATCGCTGTCGAACCAAAAAAAGGGTATGTTTAATTAAAAATTATATTATTTTTTCGTAAATAATTTTTCAAATTTTATTATATGTAATCATATTTTTATACATATATAATCTCTACAATTTTTGAATACATGATTTTTTAAACACTTGGCATCTATAGCATCTATAATATTTTTTTTTTTCTATATATAATAAAAAAATTTAATCTAGATGGCTATTTTGGAGTCAAACTTTTTGGGCATTTTATGATAGACCTATGTCGAAAATATATCGATCCAATACAATGGGCAATAATGCAACAGCAATTGTACATTTTGATCTTGGTCTTGTACTCGCATTAACTATTGATTATACACGATCTAAATTATATTGGTCAGATACACATTTTAAAAATATCGAATCTTCGAATTTAGATGGTTCTAATCGTGCTATAGTTTTAACTACAGGTGTAAGTCATTAAATAATAATTTATTTAAAGAAAATATATATATATTAAATAAGGGATCCCCATTATTTTTGTTCTTGATATTGTAGATACATCAAGCTATGAGTATTAATATATATGAGGATTCTTTATATTGGTTGATGGGTGGAACTGGTATAATAAGAAAATGTAAATTATATGGTGATAAATTATGTACAACAATTCCTATTAGTACTTCAAATATCAATAAGTATTTTATTATTTTTCATACAATCAGGCAACCTATAGGTAAATTGAATAATTATTTAAAATAATTTTATTTCATTAAATTTTATTTTTTAATAATGAATTAAATTTATTATTCTTTATCTTTTGAAACAGGAAAAAATGCTTGTGAGAAATATAAATGTAATTACATGTGTGTTTTGGGAAACAATGGTCCTGCTTGTATTTGTCCTAATGGATATCCAAAAGATTCTAAAAATATTTGTTTGGAAAATATGAATACAAAACTTATATTCAATTCGAGCTTAGTTACTTATAAGAACGAAAATATTGGATATCAAAACGGAACATTAATTGGTATAATAATAACAGTATTAGCATGCATAATAATTGGGTCAGTCTATTTTTATTACCAGAAAATCAAACCAAACTTTTCAAAGAAAAATAATCTCAGGTAAATTAATGAATAAATAAATATTTTTTTGAAATTTTTACTTAAAAATATAAATTTCTTATTTCATTTGTAGTATTCATTTTCAAAATCCATCGTATGATCAAAGAAATGAAATTGCACCCACGTTCAATTGTATCTCGGGGTTACCACCTGGAGAACATGAATATGTTAATCCAATAATAGATATACAAAAGGTAAAATATTTTTACATTATATTCAGTTAATAAAAATTATATCTATTAATTTCTATTTCTTATTTAGAATCAAAATGAAAATATAATACAAAAGAATGAAAAACAAATGACAAAAATACTTAATTTCGATCGATCGGATAATGAATCTGAAGAGTCTGCGAATAAACAAGATATTAATTTAATATAATAATTATATATTAATTCAATTATTAAATTAATAGAACCAAAATCTAACTGTATATAGTTATTTATATAAATATTTAATAACATGAATCGCGACTTAATTAAAAAAAATTTATACACTTTTTTTTATATGTAAATAAAAATTAAATAATCAATAATATCTAAAATTATCATCATTGCAATGTTTTTTCTTTACCTTTTACTTTTAGGATTAAATTATTATAAAATTTATTGTTCAACATTCTTTATTAAAATTATTTTCGATAAAAATATAAATTTAAAATATAAATTTTTTGTACTTTTATAATTAAAATATAAATATTTTTTTATATTAATCAATGAGATATGGACTATCAATAGCACCAATTCCAGCTGCTATTCCACCTTCATTTTCATTTGATGGTTTTGTTCTCAGAACATGTCCTACTTCTTCATTATGTATGATATTATTATGATTTCTGAAAAAAATCATGATTATAATAATTATATAAATATATAATTTAATATATAATAATGTAGACATTTTCTTACAGAGATATATTTTATTATTTACCCAATAATAATCCCGTAAATACCAAGTTCTGATACAACATCAGAAAAGTGTAATTGATTATCTTCAAAAGGCTCATTATGAACACGTACAATATAATTATTTTGTACAGGAGGATAAAAACGATCCATTAATATCCAAGCTGTTCTTTCTTTTGAATTTTTCATAGATTCGAAATGCAATTTTATATCTTCATTATAAATATTGTTTCCACCTCCTTCTCTTTGTGGTTTTAATACATATTTTTTTGGGTTTGTTATAGCATTATTAATTATTTCTTCTGCTTCATTATTCTATGTTTAGAATATATATCAATATAAAAATATTTTTAAATATTATATTATATTATATATTATTATTTATATTTTTTAATACTTACAAATTCTAAAGAATAAAGTCCAGCATATACTTCTTGTATTTGTTTTATTTTATTAGTATCTTTTAAAAATATATTGAGTGCATTAGGATAAGCCAAAGATTGTTGTACCTAGAAAAAATTTATATTCTTTATAATATTTAATAAAAAAAAGTTAAATATTTACCTTCTTAGTACCAGCGAGATGATAATGGATTGATGGACATTTTATTGCTTGAGAACGTTCTATTAATAATCTAACTTGCCATTCTCGTTCAGTAGGATAAGCTTCAACTTCATAACCCGAACGAAAATAAACTACAGAAACTTCTAAATTTCCACTAAAAAATATTAGTAATAATCTTTTATTTAAATTTAAGAAATATATTTAAAAAATATAAAAAAAACTAAAAGAATATGTGATAAATAATAATTATTTGTTAGTATTTAATCAATTTATATAATACTTTCTATACCTTGTATATATATTTATATATAATATCTTCTATATTTTAAGTGATTTATCAAATTTAAAATAATTAAAATTAAAAATAAAAAAATTTATATTTATATTTTTATAGTATTTTATATTTTTACATACACTATTAATTGCTTATTTGATCCTAATTTTGCTTCAGATACTAAATCTTTTAAACTTCTTCTGATTATCTTAATATAAGGATTAATTTTAGAAATTTCAAATTCATGAAACCTTTGGTCACATATATTATAAGTAATATTTTCAACAATAAATAATATTACAGCCCTATAATAAAATATATTAATTATATATATACATTATATTAATTATATAGTTATATAATAATTATATATAGTTAACAACCATTTCATTATACTTACTTTTTATTACCATATAATTTCCATGCATGTATTAAACCTTTACAAAGTCCATTAATTGGATTATTTTCTGGAATCTAAATATAAATAACAAATGAATAAAACAAAAATATTTAATAAATGAGAAAAGATACTTATTATACTATTATATAATACTTACATTCTTTATTTTATCTATATGTCCTAATTCTGATAAAATAAATCTAAAAAAATATTACACCATGTTTAAATAAATATTTTAATTAAATTATAAATTTTATATTTTATAAAAAAATATTTTTATAAAAATTTACTTGTGATATTGAGAAGTAATAGTAACTATTCCTCCAAAACTGCTTGCAATAGTATTTAATTCAACTTGTTTAATCTGATTTTCATGTAACATATAATCTGATCGAAATAATCCAAGACTTAATGTCTATAAGAAAAAAATATTTTAAAACTTATTTATTACATATTAATTAAGATATTATTATATACATAATATAATTATATTGATATTTTACTTGACTAAATCCTTCTTTATATACAGTTTCATATATATTAAATAATTTTGCTGTAAATGGATCTGCATCAATTGTACTATAAAATATATAAAAATTATCTATTATATATATATACATATATATATATATATCTATGTAAATAAATAATTTTATTAATCTTATGTACCTTTTTAAGCTTTCTGTTAAAAAATCATTATTATGTGCCACTTTATGAATCAATTCATTCAATAATATTTGAATATTCTTAGCTTTCTCAAAATTTTTTCTAGGAAAGGTTGATGGTAATAAAGTAAATGGTAAAACTTGCACTTGATTTTTATTAAAAGATACTTTTGATCGCATACTTATACCTGATAAATAAATTTCAAATCATTATTATACATTTGTGATAATAATAAAAAATCAATTTAATATATTTATTAGTACCATGCATAAGTGCCCAATCTTTAGCTTTATCTATAATACTTTCTAATTCTTCTTTTGAAAGTTGTAATTGAATACAAGGTTGTAAACGTGATATTTCCATTATTATATAAATTTTTTCATAAAATATAAAATATTTTAATCAAAAGACATTTAAAATTCACATTAATTAATATTTAAAGTGATTCTTTGACTTGCCATATCTTATCATCCAATATAAGTTCATATAACAACAAAACTATAAAAATATGTACATGTGAACAATGATGTAAATTTTTGTCACTGTACACACATATATACTTACATAATATTTCAAATCCAAAATAAAAAAATAATTTAAATATTAATAAGTATAATATATTATTTTTTAAAAATATTTTGAAAAATCATTTAAAAAATTATTTTTTAAAAATAAAATGAATTAGAAATTTTAACTCTCATATGTTAAATATCATAAAAATATATTATAGTTTCCAGAAAATATTAATATATTATAGTATTTTCACGATAAAAATTTATTGATAATTATATGATTATGTATATTATATCATGAGTGTATAAATATA